AAGAACATCAGATGGCAAGATGGCAAGAGACGCGCAAACACGTGTAGTTGCTTTCGGAAGCACTTGCTCACGTTGAGAATGAAAGAGATGTTGACATGAAGCGATGAGACTCTGTAAAGAGTGACTGTGGCATCTGTAGATGAACCTCCAGGCCTGTGTGACTCAGTAAGGGTGTTCAAACAAGACATATAAGCTGGCACTTTTTTAATTTGTGCCCTGGGGATCTGGTGGAGGACCAACAGTGGAAGTCAAGCAACTACTAAACGGGCCGTCAAATGGCTGATATTAAAAGTCTATAATATTTTGTCTAAATAAATTACAATATAAAAAAACTAAATGCTATGAGTAAATTAATTTTAAATAAAATAATTACGAATATATATATATTTTTTAAAAGGTTAACTTAGTGTTAAATGATGGCAAACATAATTTAAATGTAAAAAAAATAAAGATAAATGAGCATGTATAATTAAATATCCAATATCGCCCAATATGGATAATTAAATAAAATTAAAATTATATGGTCATAGACACACGGGGCTTTTTTAATAAAAATAAGTATTAAAATATTTTTTTAATACTGTATAAAATATTATAAAGACAAAATGAACTGATACATGTATAAATAAATAAAAAATAGAATTTAGGCAACACATTACAAAATGTAGTATAAAAAATAAATATTTTTTATGGAGTGCTAGATTATAGCAAATGTCATTTAAAATGTGAAAGAAGGAAATGAACATTTATAATTAAATATACAATACTTACAGATAAATGGATTAATAGATGTTTTTAAAATAAATATATAATTTGTCCAATGAATGGCCAAAAACCAATATAGTTTGGACATATCATGTATTCCCAATAAAAATAAATGCTGACAATATTTGTATAACTGATACATGTATAAATAAATAAAAAATAGAATTTAGGCAACACATTACAAAATGTAGTATAAAAAATAAATATTTTTTATGGAGTGCTAGATTATAGCAAATGTCATTTAAAATGTGAAAGAAGGAAATGAACATTTATAATTAAATATACAATACTTACAGATAAATGGATTAATAGATGTTTTTAAAATAAATATATAATTTGTCCAATGAATGGCCAAAAACCAATATAGTTTGGACATATCATGTATTCCCAATAAAAATAAATGCTGACAATATTTGTATAATATTGCATAAAATACTATTATTATAATACTATATCAAATATTATTATAATAATTTGTAATTATGGTATTATTTATAATATTTATAACAATAATAATGTAATGGGATTTTAAAAAATGAAAGAGAAGTCTCAAACGCTTTGTAACCCTTCAGCAACACTGAAAACTAAACAGTCAAATGTCACCAAGAAGCCAAGATTTATGATTGTGGGTGCCGACAATAACACACTGCAACAGTCCACTATTGTTCTCCTCCCCAGAGGGCACGTGAGACACTTCAGACTTTCATAATAAGTCTATTGTGTCCTTCTGCTGAGATAAACACAATAACACAGTCATCACATCCACACACACAGTGTCAGTCTGCACCGCTATTTGTGCTCCTCTAGTGTGGAGTGTTACATTTCCAGAGAGCCTGGAAGTCATAATGCGCGAGTGAGGACCTAAAGACAGCTGGCTTGTCAGCTTGGGGTTTCCTGTCAACCTGCATGGTGACACTTGAAATTCTGCCCCACATAAACAATTGAAAACGTCAGTCGAGGGATTCATCTCTGGAGTGCCACAAGCATAGGGCCAAGGCAGGCACGGCATGCTCAGATAAAGAGGAGGAATATGTCCACCCTGATTTACGATGCTCCTCTACGCTGGCTGACCAAATCAGATTCCAAATGCAGTTCCTGTTTACCATGTCTGGAACGTGAAGGTTTGAAGTTTCATTGCAACAATGAGCTAAAACTAAACAATGGATCCCCCCAAACAACCTTAATAACAAATGCAACCATGTTGCATTCATCAAAGGCAGACAATTTGTGCCATGCTTGGTGTGAAGTGATTCAATTTCACGAATGCAGCATTTGTTAGCAATGGTGCAAAATTTGGTGCAAAAGTTTATGAAACCTACTGACGCCAGAATATAGGTGTTTCTCGAATCGAATGCTCTCAATTCACGTTCCCCACCTTGGCTAGCCCGCAAAGGCTGGGAAAACAGGTGCATTTCAACTGCACCGTCATGCAATATGCACAAGGACCTGTGTGTATGAATAATTGAGCTGTACGGAGAGGCGAATGTTATGGACTTGTTGGGGAGCGACACTACATGCACAGCGACTCTGCAAAAACGCTCAACCACTGGTAACAAACTTTTGAATCATGCCATTATGGTTTGGCCTAACAATGATTCCTAACAATGTGTTGCATGCATTGGATACTGATGCAAAATCGTGCCACACTCAGTACATACTAAACAGTTTTGGTGTGAAACCCCACACCTCCAAACTCCAAAGCATGCAAATAGTCCAGGCTTTTTTAAACAAGCCATTATGAGCCAAGGATACACAGTGCCTGCACATACCAGCATTGCAACCATTGACAGTCAGTCGCGCGGCTCTTGAGACGTGCATTTATGTGTGCCCAGGTCTTTTATCTTCAGTTCTATCTCCTATCTTTCTTGCTACCTCCAGCCAATGGCGATAACGACAACGACCAAGTTCAAACTGTGGCTGTGGAAGGCGCATGCTGCATTTAATGCGCTTGCATGATTATGAAATCCGCAGTGCCAAGAAACAAAGACAGAAAGACAGCCAGCGCTGTGAGTTTATGTGCATGTACGTTAAGTAGTTCATCCTGGTTTTTGCAAAGATTGATGCAAGAATGCAAAAATCTGGTAGCAGCTCATGCCGACGACGGAACTACCGTGCAGACGCTTAGAAAAGAAACAGATGCAGCTGCATAACAACTGGGAGGACAACAGTGTGTGTGTGATTTTTAATGCTGGATAATCAGAGGAGGAAGCCAGTTCGGAGTCCCCAGTGAGTCTGTGTGAGGGAAGAAACCATGGCGTATGTCCAATTAAAACTCCCAATTAAACGCCCCAGAGAGCGGTCCTCAATATTGAGATCAAACCGCTGATAACTGCGCAATCGGGTGTGATCGCAAAGACACAACGTGATCTACAACGTGTCTGCAGTGCTCTCTTAACCCCTTTAGTCACCTTTGACTCTCGATACTGTAGATGATGGCATGCTAACAGGGCTGCTAACATCACAATCTGCAATCTCTGAAGCTAACGAATGCTCCAAAGGAAGATTTATCAGCTTCACATGCATTCGAATCTAACGAATGCTAATTACACGTCTACATTATAGCTAAAGTGATGCACGATGTGAAGTGAGTAGCATGTCATTATGCACAATACCACCTCCAAAAACAAGTGGAAAAGAACACGGGGTCCTGATTTTTCGCTAGTAAAATGGTGTGAGGTGTAGTCAGCATGAGAACAAGAGGCGCCTTCGTTTCTTTATCTCTAAAGAGATCTGACAGGCCCTCAGAGCTGCGAGACAGTACCTCTCACTAGAGTTCGACTTAGCTGTGGTGCATCAGCCACCCCGCGGCCTCCAGCTCGTCCAGAGGGTCCGAGCGGTCAAAGAAATGACAAACGTCGGTGGAACGAACAGGTAAGAGGATGACAGCACTACACCGGAAGCCTCTCTCGGTCCTTTCGCAGAACCCCTCCATCAACAACGCTCAATTGACTCGCATTCATGGAACAACGGGCCTAAATAAGGGAGGGAAAATTAATCGAGTAAATCTTTCCCTGCTCAGGGAAGTACAGAGAGTGAGAGAACACAATCGGGTCAATCCAATGAATCGATCTCGGTGATTGGTTGACTGGGCAGACGGAATTGACAGAGGAACGTTTTCCCGCAAGCAAGCCAGGCTGATTATACAACAATCAATTTTTCATTACTGTAACAACTGGCAGCGCTGACCGAAAACGTGAAATTGTGAGAAAGCTAATCCAATACTATAGGACTTGTTAGAGATTCTACTATTAGCCAAGGAACACTCAAAGCTCTCATGAGATCTATAATCAGATGCAGACAAATAGACTCTAATTCTTATCTTAGATACAGCTACTTTATTTTCAAACCGAATATCGATACTTTGGGCTAGAGTTTCTTTGTGTGTACAAGGAAGCAGAGAGCTGTTCTGTTCATTACAGGCTAGGAAGCCCCCCTTCTCCTTCTCACAGCCCAAGTCAAGTTAATACCCGCTGAGCGTGAACAAGAATGTGTGGGCCGACTTAATCAAAATCACTCGCAAGGAATTTGAATACTTTAAATTAAGAAGCTGTGACGCTCTTTTCTCCTGGTCTCTCCGGTCCAGCCACCTGGTGCGGCGTGTCTGCTGATTACAGAGAAACGGGTAGGAGGAGGTGCCCGAAGAAGAGCTGAACACATCAAGTGATGAACCTCCAACTGTGCTAGGAGGGAATGAAATGAAAAAGAACAACACAACTTTACGTTGCCTTAGTTATTATTTTGACTCAAAGCAATGGCTCCCTCAAAAGGGAAATGTTGTGTTCGAGGGGTACACGCTTGTGTTATTGCTATTGCAATAATCTATTCCTCTGAGGGA